ACTGGGGCTCAGACCCACAGAGGGGTTTCAGGTGGTCTCCAGGCAGTAAGAAACCCCAAGTCACAAAGCAGAGGTGCTCCCTGGCACTTGTTTTCCAACACGCCTGCCCACATCAGGGAGAGAAATCTCTTTAGTGCCGGCCGGATCCAGCCCCAGCCTGTCTGTGTGCAGCGCGTGGGTGCAGAAGGACTTTCACATTTTTAAAGGGGGTGCAAGGGTGAAATCTGAAGATGATCTTATTGCACATGAGAACGCTGCGAGAGTCACACTTCAGTGTCCATAAATAAAGTTTTATCAGCACACAGCCACCGTCATTCACCTGCCACCGGCAGTGGCGGTTTTGTCGCTACAGCAGCAGAGTCGAGTAGCTGTGAAAGGTGTGTGGCCCGCAAAGCTGAAAGTATTTGCTGTGTGGCCCCGTTGTGGGGAAAAAGTGTGCGTCCCTCTGCCCTGAACACTCGCGAGGCCGCCTTCCTCCCAGGGTCAGGCGCGGCGCCTTCGGGATACCGGGTCTCTGGTCAGGATGTCACGCCCTCGATGTCTCGTTCGGTTTTTGTCGCCCTTTCTTAATGTCCAGCTGCTGCTCTTCTGTTTATGGTACTCATGTGTCTTCTTTTAAAATAAATTTAAGTTAGGCTGGGTGCAGTGGCTCACACCTGCAATCTAGCAGTTTGGGAGGCTGAGGCGGGAGGATCGCTTGAGGTCAGGAGTTCGAGACCAGCCTGGGCAACATAGCAGGACCCCATCTCTACAAAAATTGAAAAAATCAACTAGGCGTGGTGGCTGCACCTGTAGTCCCAACTACTGGGGAGGCTGAGGCAGGAGGATTGCTTGAGCCCAGGAGTTTGAGGCTGCAGTGAGCTATGATCGCATCAGCACACTCCAGCCGGGGTGACGGACTCTGCCTCAAAAAATAAATTAGTTAAATTAGGTTAAAAGATTGTCCATGTAGAGGGAAAGGGGAAATAAAGGACAGCACCAAGCTTGGAGAGGTGGATGGTGTGTCCTCGCCTCCGTCCGACGGCCACTGAGGCTCCAGGCTTCCTTCCGTCTCCTCACAGTGCCTGGGCCATGTTCTTGGACCGGCCCCAGCAGCGGCTCCAGCTGGTCCTCCTCCCGCCGGCCCTGTTCATCCCCACCACCGAGAGCGAGGAGCAGCAGCTGGCCTTCGCCAGAGCCGTCCCCAAGAACATCCAGCCATATGTGGTGTACGAAGAGGTCACCGATGTCTGGATCAACGTAAGCTGTGTGCCCCGTCTGAGCCCCTGAGTCAGGCCGCCCCCACCCCCAGGGCGCCAGCTGGGCAGAGGGCCAGTGATGGGCGGGGTTTGTCCCTCTGTGTGGAAGTGCTTGGCTGTCCCGTGGCCGGGCAGGGGGAGAGGCCAGGGGGCTGGTGAGCCTGGCCGGCTGTCAGAGCCCCGTCTCCCCACCTCTGACACGTCTTCTCCCTCCCGCCCGCACAGGTTCACGACATCTTCTACCCCTTCCCGCAGTCAGAGGGAGAGGAGGAGCTCTGCTTCCTCCGCGCCAACGAGTGCAAGACTGGCTTCTGCCACTTGTACAAAGTCACTGCCGTTTTGAAACCCAAGGGCTACGACTGGAGCGAGCCCTTAACCCCCGGGGAAGGTGAGCAGAGCGTGATGAGCACCACTGACTCGTGGCGTCCTCAGTGGCATCTGTGGCTCGGTGTGCCGTTCGTTCACGGATGGGCCCTGCTGACTGCGCCCGAGGGGGGACGCAGGGAGGAGTAAGAAGCCAGCCTTCCCCGAGGAGTGTTTGTGACCCAGCGGGGATGAAGGTAGCCAACTGCTCGAGTATGCAGTCAGCAGTATTTGTTGAGCACCTACTACGTGTTAGGCCCTTAGCACCACCAGGGGTCAGCAAACTGTGGCGCACAGGTCAAGTCCAGCCCACCACCTGTCTTCCTAAGCAAAGTTTTATTGGCACACGGCCACGCCCACTCGTTCACAGATGGCAGCTGCTTTGGTGCCACAGAGTTGAGTAGTCCAAGCAGAAACTGTGTCTCAAAAAGCCATTGAGAAAAAGTAATTTACTCCTGGCCCTTTGTAGAAAAAGTTGCCAACCCCGTTCCAGGTGCTAAGGATGTAATTGTAAAAAAAAAAAAGAAAAAGAGACATTCTTGCTCATGTGGAACATTCCAGTGGACGAAAGAGACAGTAACCCAAAAACAATTTAAGATGCCGTCTCAGGTGCGTGGCAAAGGGACATGCAGTAGGGTGAGAGGGTAGGGCGTGAGGAGCCTTCTCCCTAGAATGGGACTCTGGGTAACATGCATGGATCAGGGGCCTGGAAGAGGTGACAGGGCCACACAGCACACTCCAGGTAGAGGATACAGCCGGTGCAAAAGCCCTGGGGCGGGACCGCACCTGGCATTTAGGAGGCACAGCGAGGAGGCCCATGTGGCTGGAGCAGCCTGAGGGAGAGAGTGGGAGGAGGGGAGGGTGGAGGGGGACAGGGCAGGTCGTGCGGGGCCTGGTGGGCTGCAGGGAGGACTTGGGCTTTGGCTCTGATTGTTCTGGTTGCTGTGTGGGTGCAGGCCGAGGGGCAGGACAGGGGTGGTGGCAGTGGCCGAGCTGTGCCCACAAGTCTGATGCTGGACGTGCTCTGACAGCCGAGTAGACGTGGTTCGCCAGAGGCCAACCTGGGGCGGGCTCTGAGGGGCCGTTTTAGGAGAGAAGAGCCCACAGTTGGGTCAGGCACGTTCAGGGTGAGGTGCCCGCTAGCAGCAGCACTGGGCGGGCCTGTTCCCATGCGTGGTGTTCAGGAGAACAGGATGGATTCGCAGTGGGAGTGTGGGCGTCCCTGCCCGCAGATGGCGTCTCAGCCTCAGGACGGGACAGAGCTCCAGAGGGACCGTCTGGGTAGAACGGACGTGTGGCCAGGCTCTCGCAGTGTAGACCAGGGCCTCCCCTGGGAACTGAGAACATTGGCCTGGATCATTCTCCGGGGTGGGGCGTCCTGGTCACTGCAGCTGCTGAGCAGTGTCCCTGCCTCCACGCACCCGTGCCAGGAGCAGCCCCGGTGTGACAATGACACATGTCCCCAGACATTGCCCAGTGTCCCCGGGGGACAGGACCACCCCAAGTTAGCCCACAGGGAAGAGACAGAGCCCACAAACCAGACCGAGGCCATCGCCAGGGCGTGGAGTCAAGCATGGGCGAGGGGTGACGGTCCTCCCTCAGGTTGGGCGCAGCCGTCGCAGACTGGCCGAGCCATCCCGGGGGACGGGAGCTCGCTGTGGTTGCTCAGAGCTTTGCCTTCTGGTCTGTCTGGCTTAGCCCCCACCCCGACGTGGGGATTTCACTTCAGAGTCCTCCTTTCTGCCTCCCCTTGGGAAGTGGGCCCGCCTCGGCGCTCGAGTTGCTAACGCCAGGCGGTCGCAGGGTGGAGCTGGCAGCAGCTGCCACCCAGCTGGGGACACCAACCTTCCAGGGTGCCACAGTGCCCCTCGGGTGACCTCCCAGTCTTCGAGGTGGGTGCCCCGGGTTCCCCAGCACCCTGCTCCAGGGCTATGTCTGCCACGCATGTCCCTGACGGGGAGCGCAGGGTGGGGACGAGACTGAAGTGGCTCTGGGTCCCAAGGAACCCGAGTGGGGACTCCGGCTGGAGCCTCTGTTGGGGGCCCCAGTTCAGGGAGGAACCCTTCAGCCCGCCAGCCGTGTGACAACCAGCGAGCGACTCCACCTCTGCTCCAGGGAAGCTACCATCACTCTTCCTGGGCCATCGTCCCTCCGAGAGAGACGTTTGCGACAGTTTGCTTTAGACCTGAAAGGTTAAGGAGGGAGACTGAGCCTTCAAGCGCAGACTGGTCTCAAGCAGTTTCTTATGCTTGTGAACACACGTCCTGTGCGCTGCTGTCAGTCACCGGGTGAAAACTCAAACTCGAGGTCTCTCTCCACCCCCCAAAAACCGTCATAAACCTGGGAAATGGGCCACCGTCCTCAGGGCACAAACCAGCCCCGCAACTGCATCCCACGGCTTGGGCCCAGCCAGCCACCCGCCCGTCCCCCCATGGCCTGAGTTGGCATCCGAGCTTGCCGCAGACCTGGGTTGTGGCGGCTCCGAGGCAAGGCCTCTTGGGTGGCATTTGGCCTGCGGGTCCCTGCGTCACTCCCCGCGTTCCTTCACCTCTCGTCCTCTCCTCGCTTCCAGATGAATTTAAGTGCCCCATCACGGAGGAGATCGCCCTGACCAGCGGCGAATGGGAGGTCTTGGCGAGGCACGGCTCCAAGGTACAACGTCCGCTCGCAGCCCTTCGCTGTGTCTCACACACGTGGGCACACACACACGCGTGGGCACACACACACGCGCAGCCCCCAGCCCCCGCCAGGCCCGCGTGCCTGTGGCTTCTCTCTTCCCTCCTGCTGCTCCCACCGCCCTGCCCCCTCCTCTCCGCTTGAGCACCTGGCCCCAGGGCTGGTTCCAGCCAGCTGCAGGTGGGGAGGCAGGGCCTGCCCCGGCTCCCTCTTTGATCCTGTTCCCAGCCCACCCCCCGGCCAGCCCCAGGAGGTTCTCAAACAAGCGCAGCTGCAGAGATAACAGGGGACTCCTCACCTGCCCCAGACACAGTGCCGTAAAAACGTGGCGAGGCCTGACCTCTGCCCTGAGTGTCTTCACTGGGGTCCAGTTCTACAAAATTCCAAATTTCACACGGGGACTTCTTAATCAGACTTTCTGGATCCTTCCCTCACACCCAAGCAAACGTTTCCTGGACCAGAGACTTGAATATAAAGAAGGAAGCGGTGCCCGTGGTTGGCGGAGGACGTAGGCAGTCGTTATGGTCTGGGGGCGCGCAAGCCAGCGTATCCCCTCTGGGGCTGTCCAGAGAAGGGAAACCGAGCACCCAGGGCAGCGCAGGGGTGGGGGGCAGCGCGGCTCAGCCTTCCTGCGGGGCAGAGACGGCCTCTGTCACCTCGTCAGTGTGCACCTCGTGTGACCAGGCAGACGGGACGTGGACCCCACGAGGTCCCAGAGCGCGTGTGAGATGTTTGCACAGAACCGAGCATCGCAGTGCTGTTCGCGCGGTGGGAACGGCTGTCAGCAAACACCCGAGCTGGCGAGCGGGGGTGCCGTGGCCGGGTCTGGGCTGCATAGACAGCTGACAGCTGTGCGGGTCCCGGTACAACCAGCTCTGTCCAAACACCCCACCACGGACAGGAAACGGCATCCCGAACTTCTAGGAAGGAAGCAAGTTGTAAAATGAGAGCACAGCCCTTTTCTGTACAATCGCATGGCCACACTGCTACATGTGAGTCATGGGGAGAAGGTGTCCCTAAAAGGTGACTCAGATGTTGGTGGTCACCTGCTCCCCACTGCTCTGCTGGGCCACAGTCACCCCATCTCACAGCCCGGCTCCGGCCCTGGCTGGCTGGGCACTAAGACTCACTTTACTCGTCTGTAAAATGGGGGTGTCAGATAGCTCCAAACCTTTCATCTTTACAGCACAGTCTCTCTCACACACACAGACACCCACACACCCATGAGGACCCTGCTTTAAAGTACTGCAATTTGGGGAGGTGCTTGCATTTTTTTTGTACATTTGTTTTTGAGACAGGGCCTCACTCTGTTGCCCAGGCTGGAGTGCAGTGGCGTCAGCATAACTCACTGCAGCCTCGAACTCCTGGGCTCAGGCGATTCTCCCACCTCGGCCTCCCAGAGTGCTGAGATTACAGACGTGAGCCCCAAAGTACTATAACTTGAACACCTCGGCATGGTGTCTGCCCCCCTGTCCCCCACGAGCTAGTATCATTACCTCCCTGTGTCGGTTTGAATGTGGCCACAGAGAATTGTGCTCGAACAATGGACCAATCCCGTCTCTTGGGGCATTGAACTTGCTGCCATTTTTTCAGTCTTAAAACACGTTGTGCATCCCTGTGCCCGGATTGCGGAGGCCTCGCAGGCGGATTTCTCGGGAGCGTCATTCCCAGGTCAAAGGTTGTGCCCTTTTAGGGGTCTGGCTTCTGAGCTGCCAGGGCGGCCCAGACAGGCGGCAGCGGGTCACATCCCCGCAGCAGCGTGTGAGCCCCACATGCAAGTCTGCGCCCCACTGTCCCCCACGCAGGAGGCCATTTGTCCTAAGTGTCTTCCCATCTCTTGAGGTCCCTGCCCACCCCAGGCTCCAGCCACTTCCGCCGGCTTCTCAGGCCCCGGGCACAGGAGCGATGTCCTTCTATCCACGCAGAGGGCCAGAGCGGGTCCTCGATCCCATAGACCTCTGCGGCCCGGTTCCGTTTTTTTTTTTTTTTTTTTGCAATCGGTCACAGTCGGCTCTCTCCTCTGCGGCAACGCTTGCTCCGGAGACCGTGAAGGTGCAGGTGCGCGTTGGAGAAGCCGCAGCGCCTCTAGGCAGACGCAGTTCAAGCCTCCTTCCTGTTGTTCCTGGGGCCCTCACCTAAGAACCTCCCTGGGCCCCCCTGGGGACGTCCCCCCAGGAGCTGGGCTGTGGGCCCCTGAGCACCTGGATCAGAGGGGTGGGCTGAGCAGACAGAGGACCGGGCGGGGGGGGGTCCCCTCAGCCTCTGTTCCAGCGGCGTGCCCTCGCCGTCTGTCCTGGCTCAGGGCAGGGCCTCCCCGTTGAGCCTGGAATCAGCCATGTGGGGTTAGGGTGCCAGAGAACCTCCTGCAGTCAGCCAGCCAGATCGGGGTGCCCTGGCCCGCGGGTCAGATAAGCGCATCTCTCAGAGGCGGTTCCTTCCCAGCAGGTGGGCTGAAGCCAGACTGGGGGGCGATCAGCTCTCCTGTCCACAGAGCGCCAGGCCCACCCTACAGGACAGGCGAGGGGCATGGGATAGGGCAGCACGGGAAGTCCAGGGCCGGGGCCAGGCCGTGTCACAGGAGCCCCCGTCTCCTGCAGATCTGGGTCAACGAGGAGACCAAGCTGGTGTACTTCCAAGGCACGAAGGACACGCCGCTGGAACACCACCTCTATGTGGTCAGCTACGAGGCGGCCGGGGAGATCGTGCGCCTCACCACGCCCGGCTTCTCCCACAGCTGCTCCATGAGCCAGGTGGGCCCCTCCCCGCGCCCCGAGGTGCCCCCACCTCCCAGGTAAGGGAGGAAGGGGACGGTGCACCCACCGCCACCCCACGGTAGAGAGTGATGGGGCCCTGGGGTCTGAACCCTTAGCCCAGGGCTGCCTCTCTGTGTGAGGCGGGAGGCGGCCTTTAGTCCCTCGGAACATCCTAGAACCTCAGGCACTGGGTGTGCAGAGGGCCCCCCAAGTCTGGGGCAAGAGTCAGTAGCAGTCTGTGGGCTGCAGAACCAGCAAGATGGGCAGGCCCGTGAGCCGCTGGACAGGGGACGGGTTTCTGCTGGCCTCGGTTTCCTTCGGTGGGTGGAGCTCTGGGGTTTCAGTAATGGAGAAGGGAGTGGGTGTGGCACACAGTCAAAGGCCAGAACTTGGTGACAGAGGCCCAGGCGGGAGGGTCAGAGCCAACCAGGGACGGCGGCATCCCGCGGTGCTCAGCACCCCCTCGCCCGCCCGCAGAACTTCGACATGTTCATCAGCCACTACAGCAGCGTGAGCACGCCGCCCTGCGTGCACGTCTACAAGCTGAGCGGCCCCGACGACGACCCCCTGCACAAGCAGCCGCGGTTCTGGGCCAGCATGATGGAGGCCGCCAGTGAGTACCCCAGCCCCGTTCCCTCGGGAGCCTCAGCCGGTCCCCACCCCCCAATCCCGGGCACCCAGGCTCCTCCCAGGGGCCCAAGAACTCGACAGGGGACACACGCAGTGGCCCCACCCTCTGAGGGCCCTGCCATCTGTCACAGTCTCGAGTCTGAGCTGCACTAGGGAACTGTCCTTCGCAGGGAACCCGGCAGGGGTTCAGCTCCGGGCCAGCTGTGTGCCTGACTTTCGAGCAGGGCGCAGACCCCGTCCTTGGGGAGCCGCTCGGCCGGTGGGAAGGTGGCGAGTAAACAGTTGGAACAAGGGCAGTCAGTGCAGACGGGACACCAGTGTCTGCCGAGCCAGCTCAGAGCCTGCCCTGGGGCTCGGGCTTCCCGCCCCACCTCCCTCCCTGATCCTGGCATCCTGGCATCCTGGCCAGGGCAGCCCTCAGAGGGCCCCGTGCAGGTGTCTGGTGCGCAGGGCAGACATCCCAAAGCCTTTGTTTGGGAAAGGGGCAGCAGTTGGTCACGAGAGGGGCTCCTCGAGGACGCAAGAGGCCTCCAGACAGCACAAGAGCCTAGGGTCAGCCAGGACACTGCATGGGTGGCCCTGGGTTTCAGTTCTGGCTCCATCACACACAGGATGCGGATCCTTCAGTGTTACCTTATCGGGGCCGGCGCCATGGCTCATACTTGTAATCCCAGCACTTTGGGAGGCTGAGGTGGGAGGATCGGTTGAGACCGGGAGTTTGAGGCCAGCCTGAGCAATATAGTGAGACTCTGTCTTTACCAAAAAACTTTAAACTTAGCTGGGCGTGGTGCACACCTGTAGTCGTAGCTACTCGGGAGGCTGAGGCAGGAGGATCGCTTGAGGTCAGGAGTTCGAGGCTGCAGTGAGCTGTGACTGGGCCACTGCACTCCAGCCTGGGCGACAAAGCCTAAGACCTTGTCTCTCAAAAAGAAAAGCAAAGTTGTTTTTTTATCAATGAAATGGTATGCACAAGCATGTAGAATGAAAACTATGCCCAGCACACTGCCTGGTGCCCCAAAATCACTCCGTAAAAAGGGCGACCTACCCTGGTTCTGACTCTGCTCTGTTGGTGGGTTTCTAGAACATTCTAGAAAACAGTCCCTGGCATGTATGGGCTGTTCTGTGGGTGGAGAGCATTTTGTGATACCCTCACCCCCTGGAGCAGAAATGGATCCAGGGCCTCTCTCCACAGGCACCGTCCTCGGCTCCCCTGTCGGCCGTGAGACAGGCGGGCGCTCAGCCCTGGTGGTACAGAGGGGGAAACTGAGGCTGGGGGTGGGGGCAGGGATTGGCACTTGGGCGCCCTGGGTTTCACCAAACTCCTGATCTGTGCCACGATTGAAGACCCCCTGTGTCAGGAGTAGGCAAACTGCGGCCAAGTCCAACCACACACAGTCATTTACGTGGCGATGGCCACGTTAGTGCCACAGTAGCAGATGACACCATGTCTGCCCCACCAAGCTGAAGGTATCTACTCTCTGGCCCTTCAGAGTAAACCGCTCCGGACCTCAGACCTGAATTACCCTTTACTGGTCTTCCTGTAAATTGACTCACCTACATTTACCTAAGGAAACTAATTTAAGGAAAAATCCGGGAGAAGTCGGCCTCAGATTAGCTCTTGGTCAAATTCCAGAGGTGTCGGCACCTCCGTGGGGCCCACAGGTGTGAGGGCTGCTGAGGACAGCCTTGGTCCTGGGGTGAGAGGAGGATGGCAGGAGGGAGCGAAGGGGAATGGCTTTCTCGCCCTGGGGACCGCCCTCTGAACTTCACGCCGTCCACCCGTGGCAGGCTCTGCCCCCGCGCCTGGGAAGCGCAGGACAGGGGTGCTGGGTTCCACCCGCTGGGCCTGGGGCGAGGCCGCGAGCAAGGGTGTTGGCTGGATGTGGCTTGGCTGGCCTGGTGCCCCCGGCCCCGCAGCCACAGCCGCTCCGTCTCCTGCAGGCTGCCCCCCGGACTACGTGCCCCCAGAAATCTTCCACTTCCAGACGCGCGCGGACGTGCGGCTCTACGGCATGATCTACAAGCCGCACACCGTGCAGCCGGGCAAGAAGCACCCCACCGTCCTCTTCGTGTACGGAGGTCCCCAGGTGGGTGCCTGGTGGGGGAGGCTCAGCGGGAGGCCACGGCCACCTTCCCAGCGCCCCACTCCCCGCCGCTCCGTCCTGAGCACGCTCGTGCTGCTTCTGCGTCCGTCCCGCAGCCCTCGCTCCCTCCCGGACGGCCTCCCTTCCCCCTTCACCTGCCTGCTCTCCCGTGTCCCTCTGGGAAGCCCCTGTCACCAGCTTCGCACAGAGGGGGCCTTGGGCCCAGCGCCCTGAGCAGGGGCCGGGACCAGGCAGGTGGGTCCGTCGAAGGTGGGGCCGCCCAACCAAGGCGGCCCCGCCCCCCCCAGGGAGCACTGGGCATCACCGGGGGACATTTGTTGTTGTCACGGCTGAGGAAAGGGAGCTCCTGGCGGGGAGCAGGTGGAGGCAGGGACACTGCACGGCACCCTGCAGCGCCCAGGACGCCCTCCCCACAGAGCCGCCTGCGCCCCACATCGGTGGAGTTGAAGTGGCTTCCCAGGGAGGGCCAGGGCACGTCCGACCTTGTCACTCCCCGAGGGTCCCCAGAGCCTCACGACAAAGCACAGGCACATTCATTAGGCTCTAAGGCCCTGTCCTGTCCCTGTCCCCGTCCCAGTCCCACGGGTCCCTGGCTGGACTTGCCCCTTGGGCCCAGCGCACGGCGTCCTCTGCGGCCCGCAGGTGCAGCTGGTGAACAACTCCTTCAAGGGCAGCAAGTACCTGCGGCTCAACACGCTGGCGTCCCTGGGCTACGCCGTGGTCGTGGTCGACGGCAGGGGCTCGTGCCAGCGCGGCCTGCGCTTCGAGGGGGCCCTGAAGAACCAGATGGTAACTTCTGTTCAGTCGCGCGGGCCCAGCTCGTGTGGGGCACGGGGCGGTCCCGGTGGGGATGGCCTGGGCACAGTGATGGGGGGGCCTTTTGGACCCAAGGGGGACATTGGCTTTGCTGCTCAGCTCTGAGCTGTGCCCTGTGGAGACACGGGGACACACGCGTGCCACCTGGTGCCTGAGCTCACAGCACAGTCCGGGTCCACGGGAAGTCCCGAGGGCTGGGCCAGACAGCAGCGGGTGGCCGGAGAAGCAGGGTCGTTAATGGCAGTGGTGACGGTGGTGGTGATGGCTGCCATCTCGGTCAGTATGTGCTGCTGGAACAAACCCCCCCAGCTGGGGCTTTATGAGGAATACATGTTTATTTCTCACGGTTCGGGCAGCCAGGGAGTCCGAGAGCAAGGCGCCAGCAGGCTGGTGTCGGGTGGGGGCAGCTCTCTGCTTCCAAGAGAAAGGCCTCGTGGAGGCCTCAGCGTGAGTTCCGGAGAGGACACAGACACCCAGACCCTAACAGTGGCAGTGAGGGTGGTAGTGGTGACGGTGCTGGTCATGGCACCAGCCGGTCTTTGAGCCCTAGCTCGTGCCAGGACGGGCCCAGTCTCCTTGCGCCCTGGCGCCCTCTCCACGTCAATGTCCCTGTCTCAGAGTTGAGCAGACCAGGCCCAGGGAGGGGACGGGCCTTTCCCAGGGGTGCTGGCCCAGGAGGCGGCAGAACAGGGCTGGTGCCGGGTCTGGTGGGCCCTGGGGAGACGGGTGACGCCCAGAGAGCCACTTGTGATCCCAGAGGGAGAAGACAGAGGTGGGACCACAGCGGCACGCCTGGGAGGAGGCCGCTGAGAGGTGCCCGGCCTCGTCCCCCAGGGCCAGGTGGAGATCGAGGACCAGGTGGAGGGCTTGCAGTTCGTGGCCGAGAAGTACGGCTTCATCGACCTGAGCCGCGTCGCCATCCACGGCTGGTCCTACGGGGGCTTCCTCTCGCTCATGGGGCTGATCCACAAGCCCCAGGTGTTCAAGGTGGGTCCGGCACCCGGCCAGCCCGCGGCGCGCCCACCCCTCCCCGGTCCGCGCCCGCCCGCCGCCCCCAGAGGCGCCTCGGCAGGGGCCTTGCCACGTGGCTGTTTCTCCCCGCAGCAGCCCCATGGGGCCGAGCCCCCCTCCTCATTGCCCGCCACCGCTGACCCCAGGATGGCATCCGGCTGCGCAAAACCCTGCCAGCAGCTCTCTGTGGGAGGCTGAGCCCGGGACCCCGGCCTCGGATGGGCAGAGGTGGGGCATGGTGTGAGGAGCGGCGGGAGGGGCCCCAGGCCGGCGGCACCGCCAGGGCACTGCGGGGCGCGGCCATGAGGAGGAGGAGGAGGCGGCGGAAGGGCAGGGGGAGCAGGGCCCTCACCCGCCTGCCCGTGGCACCCTGCCCGCCCTGGAGCAGCTCACGGCCCACGGGGACACACGGTCTGAGGGCCCCTCCCCGCCAGCCCCAGGTGCATGACCGCTCCTGTGCTCAGGGAGGCCCCGGGATGGCGGGCACAGGCTCCCTGACCGACGCCCCTGTCTCTCTCTCTGTCCCCGTCCGCTGTGTCCTTCAGGTGGCCATCGCGGGTGCCCCGGTCACGGTCTGGATGGCCTACGACACGGGATACACGGAGCGCTACATGGACGTGCCAGAGAACAACCAGCATGGCTACGAGGCAGGTTCTGTGGCCCTACACGTGGAGAAGCTGCCCAACGAGTAAGGACCCCGCACCCCGCACCCCCGAGCGCTCTCCCGCCACCCCTGGGGACCTGCTGCTTCTCCGTCCATCCGGGATGCCCCCCCACCCCAGCTGGCTCCAGCCACGGACCCCAGGTCACCGTCACGCCTCCCCCATTGTGCCCCTGTGGCCTGGGCGGGGCCGGCATCTGCCTGTGTGTGCCTCGAAGCCCCCTCCTGGCAGCCCTCCTGCCTCACCACCCCTCGCGGGAAGGGGCGCCCAGGCGTGCTCATGGAGGGAGGAGGCCCTGGCCCTGCCCTCAGAAAGATGGAAGGAGCTAGAGTCACACCCCTTGTCGTGCACCGGCTGTCCTAAGTTGTGTCCTGAATGGTGACAACATCCCAGGCTGCGGGGCCAGTTCAGATGTCCCGTTTCACCCTCTGACATTGGCCTTGGCCTCACTTTCTGATGGAGAGAGAAGGGTGCTGCCACTTCCTGGGGTGTCTCCGCCTGGTTAGCGTCACCCGGGATCCCGTGCCATTGCAAGGGGCGCTTAAAAATCCACCTGCATCGCTCTCCCCGGGGTCTGGAGCGTGGCCTGGGCTCCCGGCGAGGGTAACGCGACGTCTCCCCGGAACCCACCACCCTGGACCTCGCTGTCCAGTACGAGAGCCGGTCGCCACACGGGGCCGTTGAAATCGAAGGGCACACTCATCCAAATAAACTAAACGAATAAATCCATCAAGACAGAGTGCAGATTAGCAGCTGCCCGGGGGTGGGGAGTCCCTGCTAATGGGAATGGGGGTTTTGGCTTCAGAGTGATGGAATGTTCTGGAACTAGGGAGAGGTGGTGGTTGCACAACATTGCGAATGCACCAAATGCCACTGAATCATGTACTTTGACCTGGTTACTTTTAGGTTATGTGAATTTTACCACAATAAATTATTTGCTTGGGCGCAGTGGCGTGCACCTGTAGTCCCAGCACTTTAGGAGGCCAAGGCGGGAGGATCATTTGAGCCCAGGAGTTTGAGGCTGCAGTGAGCTGTGGTGACGCCAGTTCACTCCAGCCTGGGTCACAGGGCGAGACCCTGTCCCAAAAAACAAAAAAAATTTCTGTTCCTCAGTCATTCCTGCCGCATTTCAAGCGTTGGGTGGTGCAAGTCTAGAACATTCTGTCGTCGACTGTGCTGTGGAGCAGTGTGCTGTAGAGGCTCCCCTGTAGCTTAGGGACCTATTTGCACAGACAGTTGCACACTCCTATTGCACGCTCCTCTCCCCTCCCTTTCTGGAAGGGGGGCGGGGGGGGGGTCTTCCAGACCTGCCAGTTGTGCCCCAGGCTTACGTGTCGTTCCCGCTGCCCAGCAGGGGCTGGGGAGAGACTTGGCCCAGTTGGGACCATGGGCAGTGGCCGGAGCGGCTCAGAGCATGCAGAAGTCTGCGCCCACCGCTCCCTCTCTGGCCCCGGCACGACCCCAGCCTCACACACACCCTCCCTGCGTTCCAGGCCCAACCGCCTCCTCATCCTCCATGGCTTCCTGGATGAAAACGTGCACTTTTTCCACACAAACTTCCTTGTCTCACAGCTGATCCGAGCGGGAAAACCTTACCAGCTCCAGGTGCGTGGCTCCTGCGGTCCCTGCACTGCGTGGTCCGCTCGTGGCAGGGTTGCCTCCTGTGGTGTTTCTCACCAGAAGCAGAGGCTCCCGGGTCCCTGGGTCCCCACGCTGCTGCCTGCCCTGCGTTCCTGAGGGTCCCTGCTCACGGTCCCTTCATCCGTCAGTAATGCGTGGATCACGCCTGGGACCCCAGGGTGGAGGTGGGCCACACTGCGCCTGCCCAGGGCCTAGGAGGGAGGTCGCTGAAACTGACATTTTGACACAAACAGAAACATGCTTAGAAGCAACCACAGGGTTCTGAGAGCATCTAGCAGGGTCATTGCTAAGGGGTCGGGGGTCCGAGAAGAACTCCCGGGGCAGGTAACATTTAAGGGTGCCGGCGTGAGTGAGGAGGCAGCCAGCGCTGGGGGCCCAACGTGGACACGGGAACGTGGAGAAGGGAGGGGGCTGGGGAAAGAGCAGGGCCAGCTGGGCGGGGCCTTGGCAGTGAGGGGCGGGGCTTAGTGGCAAGGTGGGTGGGCCTCGGAATGAGGGGTGGGGCCTCGGGTTAGGAGGATGGGGCTTCGGCAGTACGGGGCTGGGCCTCAGTGAGGGGTGGGGCTCCCTTGTAGGGTGAAGAGCTGACATCTCAGCAGGACTCCCCTGGGCCCCCACATCCCAAGCTTCCCCGGAGGCATGTTCCTCACAAACAGGCCCAGGCAGCTGCAGGTGGGCTCACAGTCAGGAGGAGCTGTCACAGACCGAGCAGCCTGGGGCTGCACTTCCCCACCTGCCAAACGGCACGGCAACCCTGCCTCCCGGGCAGCTGCCAGGGCCACACGCGTCCTCGCAGGAAAAGCGTTAGCACGCGAGGTGGGCCTGGGGTGGGAGTAGAGCAGTGCTGGGGATACATGGAGTGTACCCTGCCTTATTCCAGACACCCCGAAACAGCTGGACTGGGCAGCTGGCAGCCACAGGCCCTCTTTGTTCACAAATCACATCCGCCACATGCCAGGCCCTGGGTTGGGGGCCGGGAGTTCAGTAGAGAGACCCTCCTCCCTCTGCCCTCCCAGCTCGGGGAGGAGCAAGTGACGGAGCAGCCAGGACCCAGGGTGGCGTGGCTTCGTGGGCACAGCATGTGCGATGGCCGTGGTGGGCTTAGTGGGATCTGTCCCGGGCGGTGCCAGTGCCTGGCCTGGGGCAAGACGGCCCGTGAGGTGTCAGGGGCTGCAGGACCCGGAGGCCCGTTTCGATGTCAGGCCGACGCAGTCTCGCAGAGGCTGGCGACCATGTTGTCCAACTCGGCATTCATCCAGAAACAGATAAGGAAGGCAAGGGCAGAGGAGGGGAGAGCAGCGGGTGGCTTGGTGCGTTCCCAGGCTGACGGGCCAGGGTGGCAGCTGGGGACCTGGGCACGTCTAGGGAACCCATCTCACCGCAGGAGGCAGCGCGGCATGAGCCACCTGGCCTTGCTGCCGGCCAGCACCAGTGTTCTCCGGGAGAGAACGTCCCACCAGCCCCCGAGGGCGGGGAGCCGTTCGTGTGCCCATCGGCACCTTGGGAGACCCTGCTCTGTGGCCAGGGCAGGACTCGCACTGCGTGTCCGTCCACCCGAGGGCCTGGACGTCGCTGGGCCAGGTCTCAGGACACTAGGGAGTTCCCCGTCACTGTCCCACTTTTGGCTTAATCCCCCTTAGGTGGTAAGAGGACCCAGAAAACACGAAGCCTGGGGGTGGCCGTCCTGGGGCCTAGAGCTTGTCATGTGCAGTTCAGACATGGCCTGTGGTGAGACGGAAATGAGGACGGGGCCCCCAGGTGTCTCTGAGGTTTGCGGCCTCAGCCTCCTCCGCAGGGATGGGTCTGTCCCTCCTGAGCAGATTTGGCAGGTGTGTGGCACTTTATAGACCTTGTCTTACCAAATCCTCCCAGCGACCTGACGAGGTCGGCGTTCGTGCCATTTTTGAGAAGGGCTAGAGCTAGCACCATGCGTCAGTGGTACAGCTGGGACTCGAACCCAGGTCCATGGGCCTCGGCGCTCACACACCTTGCCTGTCCGCACCCTGTGCCTGGTGACCAGGGGAGCCCTGGGGAGGTCCCGCAGTGCCCCCAGCCTGCCCTGTGTCTCCACCCAGATCTACCCCAACGAGAGACACAGTATTCGCTGCCCGGAGTCGGGTGAGCACTACGAAGTCACACTGCTGCACTTTCTGCAAGAATACCTCTGAGTCCGGCTGCCTCGGCTGCCTGCCCACCGCCCGGAGCCATCACAGCAGAGCACAAGTGGCTTCGAGGCCACCACCACCGCCCGGGGACCGGGCGGGAGGGACCGAGTGGCCCCACGGGCCCGGACGAGGTGCCTCTCCTACCCCTGCTGGCCAGCCCTGCTGCCCCGAGGAGCCACCGCCTTCGCCACCCTGACGCCTTTTATCATTTTCTTAATGTTCCTGGGTTTTTGCCTGCTACTGCTTGGTCGCCAGGACAGAGAGATGGTGGCTGATCCCTCCAAGGCATGGCCTCGGGCCATCCCGCCTTCTGCAAGGAGGAGGCCACCCGCCGCTGGGCACGGGAGAGGCTGGAGCTCGGGCCACCCCGGCCAGAAGAGACTCGGAGGAGCGGGGCGCCCCCCGCCCATGGCTCCCGGTGGCCCCTCAGTCTCCTGACCCAGCCAGCCACCGTCCCCAGCACAGAAGCATGCAGTTGCCTGTCTTCCCCGCCAGCCCCCCACTTCATGTTTGTGGTTTGTTTTAGGAGGCGTTTTTCATAACTATTTAAAAGACAGAAAGCAAGGGGTGCCTACATCTAGACTCGGGGTCTGCGCCAGGCTGTGGGGTTTCAGCCCAGCCCCTGGTGAGCCCCAAAGCCGGAGCGGAGAGTCGTGAGGAGGAGGAGGAAGAGTGGCCAGGGCCTGCTGGGGGCACTGCACCCTCCCACGCCCGCCTCTGCCCTGAGCTTTCAGGCAGGCACTGAAACTCGCCGAGCTTCAGCGCTCTGCTGGTCAGCGGCCGCTGTCCCCTCCCCAGCCCAGCTGTCAGGCCACATGTGTCTGCCCAGCCCGTGCCCACCGGGGGTTCCGGGGTTGGGAGTTGGAACCGTCCCCACCTCAGGGTTATATTGTCCCCTTCCTTTCCCTCCCCGCCAAGAGTTCTGCCAGGGGCGGGCCAAAAAAACAAAAACGAAAAGAAGAAGAAGGAAAAAAAAAAACCAGAAACAAACCACCTCTACATATTATGGAAAGAAAATATTTTTGTCAATTCTTATTCTTTTATAATTATGCGTGTAAGAAGTAGACTCATTAAAGGATTCCAGATGGAAACTCACCCTGCCTGAGGTTCCTTCCAAGTCCCAGGCTCCTCTGAGTGGGAGGGGCGTCAGGGAGTGGTCACCACCAGGCATCGCCACCTCCGCCATCTTGGCAGTCACCAGGGACCACTGGGGACCTGGGGCTGCCCTGGCACAGGCCCAGGAGGGTGTCACACCAGCCCGCTAGAAGATGCCCACCCCTGATCACACTGGACCAGGGAGGACAGTCCCAGCTGCCCCGATGAGAGCATTCTGGACCTCTGTCCTCAGAGGTCCAGAAACGTCGGTTGGTCTCCAGGGACCCGGCACAGGATGTTAGGTGTGGCCTTGGCTCCCCCAGCGCCACAGCACAACCCAATCCGCAGCATCCTTCATGCCGGATGCTCCAGCCGCCAACACTTCCGGGATCACGAAATGCCAGCCAGGAAGGGCAGGCCGAGCCCCTTCACGTCTGTCCCAACAGCAAGACACCAACAAGGGAGGCCCTGGTGACCATGCTCGGCATGTGGTTGTGCTTCTAACAGCAGGGAGGGACTGCCCTGCTTGGTCCACTGACCATGCTTGGCATGTGGTTGTGCTTCTAACAGCAGGGAGGGACTGCCCTGCTTGGTCCACTCTCTCCATCCTTCGGGAAGCTCCCCTTCTAAAAAAAAAAAATGAGTTTTAAAGAAAAATAAATCTCAATACAAAAGGATATTTAGGGGAAAGACATCCTCTCCCCTCCCTAGAGATGACCTTCCCCCGCATCTTGCGTGTCCTTCCAGGAACAGCCTGTGCGTATATGTCTACACACAGGTAGGTAACGATTGTGTTCACCTGGACCGTGGCTTCTTGCTGAATATATCTTGATAGCTGTGCCACGTTATTGTGCTAGAGCTGCCTTATTTTTCTAATGCCCACATTCTAGTCTGTTGTGCAAATGTGCTGTCATTTATTTCACTAGTGTCTTAATACATAGGCCACTCTGGATTTTTAGTTAGTATAAGTCAGGATCAGCAAACTTTATGTAAAGGGCCCAACGGTAAATATTTTAGATTTTGTGGGCCAGCCTGTGTGGCAACTATTCAGCTCTGCCATTGTAGCACAATGACAGCCTTAGATAAAATGTGAACAAATGGGTATGGCAATAAAACTTTATTTACAAAATCAGGCGGCTGGCCAGATTTGGCCCACAACCTATAACTGGCCAACCCCTGTATAAATGATCCTGCAACAAGGCCAGGCGCGGTGGCTCACGCCTGTAATCTTAGCTTTCTGGGAGGCCGAGGCGGGCGGATCGTTCTGAGCTCAGGAGTTCGAGACCAGCCTGAGCAAGAGCGAGACCCCGTCTCTACTAAAAATAGAAAGAAATTAATCGGACAACTAAAAATATATAGAAAAAATTATCCGGGCATGGTGGTGCGTGCCTGTAGTCCCAGCTACTCGGGAGGCTGAGGCAGGAGGATCGCTTGAGCCCAGGAGTTTGAGGTTGCTGTGAGCTAGGCTGACGCCACGGCACTCGCCCCAGGCAAGAGAGTGAGACTCTGTCTCAAAAATAAATAAATAAATAAATGATCCTGCAACAGATAGATTTGTATGTGTTTTTGGTAGATATATAAGTTCCTAAGATAAATTCCTAGAATCAGCAAAAGGCATATTTACTTTTAATTTTGAAGAATGTTATTATACCAAATTGCCTTCCAAACAGAATGCCTCAAAGTACACTACTTCCAAGAAGTGTGCCTGTTTCTCAAGTGCTCAGTATTATGTGTTATCAAATAGTTTTTCCTTTGCCCATCTTATTAAATACAAGAAAAATGCGGCATCTCACTGCACTTTGAACTCACATTTCTCTTACACGTGTGGATCTTTTCACGTTTTAAGTCATCTGTTTTCTGGTAATCATTTGTTGATGTCTTTTGCCCGCCTTCCTGTTGACTTGTTGGTCTCATTGATTTGTAATTGCTCTTTATATATGAAAGAAATCAGTCCTTTGTCATACATGTTGCAAATCGAAATGTGTTCCCAATCTCAATGTATTTTACTGGTAGGAAGCTCAGGCAGTGAATCTTCAAAATCATTCTGTTGGGAACATGAAAATGCCATTCCCTTAATCCACTGTAAAACCAAGTGCAGCAGAGGACCCGGCCGTAAGCCACAGAATCCGGCTCCGGCTAAAGAGGACAGATAGCACAGAATGAGAGAGAACTGGTGGGAAAGGGGGTTGGTGGGGTTGCCCCAGGAGGCTTGGTAGCCAGAGTCATGCAGCTTTCACCAGAACCTTCTATCCTGCCTCACTGAGTCAAGATTCAAATTGTCACAAGACAGTATCCATTGTCCAAATTGCGGTCACTCGCATTCCTGCCCCTGACACCTAGGCTGGGAAAGGAAGGGAGGTGCCAGCAGGAAGGGAGGCCAACATCTCATTGCCAAATCCGGGAAACTTGACACTGGAACAATACAATAAACCCAACTGTTGCTGGGTGCGGTGGCACATGTCTGTAGTCCCAGTGACTCGGGAGGCTGAGGTGAGAGGATCGCTGGAGCCCAGGCATTCGAGGCCAGCGTGGGCAACATAGCAAGACCTCATCCCTTTAAAAAAAAAAAATTAACCCTACTCCAAACCTTATTTGGATTTTACTGGTGTTCACACACACTTATTTCTCTGTGTGTGTGTCTGTGTGTGTCTGTGTCTGTGTGTGTTTCCATTCCACATTCTCGCCTGCGCAGATTCTGGTAGCCACCACCACAATCGAGACACAGAACTGTTTATTCACTACAAAGGAATTCCTTCACGCTACCCTTTAATATTTCCATCCACCCCCATTTACGGTGTCTTGACCATAGAGAGAAGAGTCTGTGATACTCGTGTGATCCAATCTTTTCCTTTAGGACTGCTGGACTTAGTGTCATGATCGTTGAAAGCAGGCTTTTTGGAAGGACGGTTTGTTTTCTTTCAGTCCCTTTAGTGTGCTAATTTTTTTTTTCTTTCTAAGCAAAAAAAGGGAAAACAAAAGAGGCCTGGGGCTCAACTCTTTCTGGAAAGCGTGCACACACACACACACAAAAGCTGCCTGTGCTCAGCAGGAGACTCCAACAGCTCACAATTGAAATAAATACCTTATTTACTTCCTCAAAGGGCACAACAGAGCCCAGTTTGGGGATAACCTACAACATATTCTCTCGGGATTCTGTTCTTTCTAGTCAGGAAGGAGTAGGAACACTGGCTCAATTCTTGACTCTCCAAACATGGCCATTGACATTTTCTTGAAATTTTAAACACTTTGTGATCTTAAAAAAAAAAACAGCATCTTTCTGTAGTTGAAAACTTGGGATTGAATGAAAACCACGGCTAGTATTTAGGATTCTCACCTGGTTCCTTCTGTAGCAGGAACTTTAATAGCAGTCCCTCGCTTAACCCTCGAACAACCTCTTAAAGTAGGGATGGTGTTTTTTTTAACTGGTTTTTTTTTTTTTTTTTTTTTTTTTGAGACAGAATCTCACTGTGTTGCCCGGGCTAGAGTGCCGTGGCGTCATCCTCGCTCACAGCAACCTCAAACTCCTGGGCTCAAGCAATCCTCCTGCCTCAGCCTCCCGAGTAGCTGGGACTACAGGCATGCGCCACCATGCCCGGCTAATTTTTTCTATGTATTTTTAGTTGTCCAATTAATTTCTTTCTATTTTTAGTAGAGACGGGGTCTCGCTCTTGCTCAGGCTGGTCTCGAACTCCTGAGCTCAAAGAATCCGCCCGCCTCGGTCTCCCAGAGAGCTAGGATTACAGGCGTGAGCCACCGCGCCCGGCCTGTTTTTTTTTTTTTAATAAATTTAAGGCTCCTAGAAAATCTACAGGAACTGTAGAGTTCCCTAATACCCTTCATCCGACTTCTCCTAATATTAACATAGCAGATAACCATAGTGCCAGCCAGGATATGGAAGCCCGGAAATTAACATCAACATAGTCCTATTAACTAATATCTGGACCTCATTAGAATGTGGCCAGTTCTCCCTCCCATGTCCCTTTTCTGGTCTAGGAGCAATTCCTGAATCCTACACTGCGTTTGGCTGTCTTCCTTTCCTCCTGTGACTGGTCCTCAGTCTGTTTCACATGATACTTGTGAAGAGTCCTGCGGGTTATTCTGTAGAATGTCCCTGGATTTGGGTTTGTCTTGGTGACTAGCTCAGGATTATGCTGAGGCTGTGCATCCCACCGAGGTGCTGTGCCCTTCCCACTGCATCCTACGGTGGCTCCACGATGTTGATCTCTTGTTTTCAGTGACATTGACTTTGCTCACTGGGCTGAGATGGTGTCTACACTATAAAATCACTACTTTCCTCTTTGTAATTACTAAGAATCTTGGGGGAGGCTGGGAGCGGTGGCTCACACCTATCATCTCTGGGAGGCTGAGGCGGGAGGATGGCTCGAGGCCAGGATTTCAAGGCCAGCCTGACCCACACAGCAAGACTCTATCTCTCTAAAAAAAATTTTGTAAATTAGCCCCAGCATGGGTGACAGAGTAAGACCTCGTTTCTAAAGAAAAAAAAAAAGTTTCTAAGTATCTTGGGTGGAAATACTTTGAGGCCATGCAAATATCCTGTTTCTCATCCTACTTTCCCTCTGGGTTGAACTTCAACCCAGAGATCTCAGCCCACAATTGTGAAATGTTTGCCTAAAGCCGACCTTCGATTTCCCTCTACAGTTAGTAACTGGAAAAGCTGCAGAGTCGGTCACGCGGATGGCAAGTGAGGGACGAGGGGACCCTGAGTCCCGGGAACGACCTCCGCGACCACCAGAGAGAACCCTGCAGGGATCTGCCTACCCGGCGGGCTCCCTGGGACAGGGAGGCCCCGCCCCCTTATAAGCCCCGCCCCAAGATGGCGGCCCCGCTGGGCGCATGGAGCCGGGCGCTGCGGGTGACGTCACTCTGCGGACGCCGACGTGGCCTCAGGTGCACGCCCCACGTGTCCCGCCCCGCGCCCCGTGCGTCCGCCCCTGCCCTGAGAATCCTGTTCCAAGATGGCGGCGCCCAGCGGAGGCAGCAGCGGCGGCGGCGCGAGCCTGTGGGCCGTGCTGCTTCTTGGGGCCGTGGCGGTTAGGCCGGCGGAGGCGGTGTCCGAGCCCACGACGGTGGCGTTTGACGTGCGGCCCGGCGGCGTCGTGCACTCCTTCTCCCAGAACGTGGGCCCGGGGGTACGTGCCGCCGCCGCCCCGGGCATCGGAAGCGAGGGATGATGCTGGTCGGTGGTCCAGGGAGGCTGAAGAAGGGGCGAGGCCTGAGGATGGGGTCCGGCACTGCGGGGGTGGGGTCGTCACTGCACTAATAGCAGGTGGGGCGTCCTGGGGGCTGGCGACGTTGTGGGGGCGTGGTCACGAGCCTCAGCGCCTGTCTCACCTGTCACCTGCCCTAAGTGTCCAGGCAGCCCGAGAGGAGGGGAGAGGGCAGCGAGGAGAGCGACGGGAGGCTGAGGGGTATTTCCGCTTCCTGAGCCTGCCAGGGGTCAGTCGCTGCAGCCCTGCCTAGGGAGGAAGTGCTCTTTCCTTCCCTTGCACGAGGCCCCACATCATGGAAGGTGTGAGGCCAGGCCCTCCTTACCCGGAGGCAGCGGGCCTGGGTCTAGCCCAGCTCTGTCCCCAGCTTGTCAGCAAAGTCACTTCCTCTCCCAACTTCCCGTTCACCTATAACAGCGGTATCAGTAGTTGCTGTTTGTCCAGTACTTCCTTATAGCCAAATATGGCGCCAAGTTGTTTGTACGTCAGACCTGTTTTACAGATGAGGAAATACAGGCTCCAAAAAGTTTTCACTTGTCCAGGGTCCCCAGGTGTCACTGCTTCCAAAGCCCATGTTCCTAGAGGGTAGAGGGGTGAGTGTTGGAGGGGGTGCGACCTCCCCCTTCCTGTTCTTTGTATCCCAGAAGCCACATGGGTTGTCTGTCCAGACCTACGAGCTCCACAGTAGGGTGGCAGGCAGGGGACTTAGAGGCCTTGCAGGCTGGCAAGGGACACCAGCCAGAGGGATTGTCCTGATTCTAGATGTCCTAAGACTCTGTACCTTTAGCAGTAAGGATTACCTTTTACCAAGCCTCTTTTCTCTTCCATTCTCTAGGACAAGTATACTTGTAAGTTCACTTACGCTTCTCAAGGAGGGACCAATGAGGTGAGTCATTCAAAATTTCACTTAGCTCACTGTGAGGGTATCCATACTTATACAGAGACATTGTCCAGGAGACAGTGAAGTTGGTTCATTCATGCATCAACTTACACCCATTCAGCTATTCCCACTTACCAATAAAAGGGAAAGTGCTCACATTAAATAGTGGGCACAGATTCCACTGCCGTTATTCCACAGAGGGAGCAAGTGTCTGGACAAAAGGACGGACTTGAGATGTAAATCTGCCGTTCCCATGAGCCTCTGTTAGGGGTGCTGTATTTGGCTTCTGTGCTGTTTAACAAATTACCACAAACCTAGTGGCTTAAAACGACAGCCATTTATTGTCTCACAGTTCTGTAGGTGAGAAGTCTGGGTCAGCTCAGCTGGGTGTTTCATAAAACCAAGATCAAGGTGTCACTGGGCCAGGCTCTAAGAGGCTAGAGGCTCTGGGAAAGAATCCTCTTGTAAGCAATATCAAGTGGTTGGCAGAATTCAGTTGTTTGCGGTTGAAGGACCGAGGTCCCCGTTTCCTTGCTGGCTGTTTTCTCTAGCTGGTGGCAGAAAAGCAACAAAGATTCAAAGCGTGAGAACACATGCGGCGTTGGCTGGCTTTGAGGGCACCCCGTGGCCAGGAGTGCAGCCGGCCTCTAGGAGCTGAGAGCGGCCCCTGGCTGACAGCAAGGAAGTGAGCAGTTCGGTCCTACAACTTGGAGGAACTGAATTCTGCCACAGCCCCGTGAGCTTGGAAGAGGACCCTGAGCTCCAGATGAGAACCCGGCCAACACCTGGATTCTAGCCTGGGAGATGTGCCGGGTAAAGGACCCAGCCAGGCCGTGCTGGACCTACAGAACTGTGAACTCTTAAATGGGTATTATTTTTAAGCTACTGAATAGGTGGTGATTTGTTACGTAGTGTAGTGGGTTGAAGGGTAGCCCCCCAAAAGATATGTCCACATCCTAATCCGCAGAACCTGTGCATGTGACCATGTTTGGAAAAAGCATCTTCGAAGATGTAATTAAGTTAAGGATCTTGGGATGAAGACATCATCCTGGATTATCTAGGTGGACCCTAAATCCAGTGATAAGTGTCCTTATCAGAGACACACAAAGGACATTTTATAGATAGAAGAGGAGAAGAAACACAAGGAGAGGCTGGGCGCATTGGCTCACGCCTGTAATGCCAGCACTGTGGGAGGCCAAGGCAGGCAGATCAGTTGAGGCCCTGAGTTTGAGACCAGCCTCGGCAACAGAGTGAGACCCCTTCTCTACAAAAGGTTAAAAAATTAGCTGGATGTGGTGGCACATGCCTGTAGTCCCAGCTACTCAAAAGGCTGAGGCAGGAGGATCCCTTGAGCCCAGGAGCTGGAGGTTGCAGTGGGCTATGACAACACCACTGCACTCCAGCCTGGGTGACAGAGGAAGACCCTGTCTCAAAAAAGATTACGAAAGCAAGAAACAGGGAGAAAGCCCCGCCAAGTTGGAGGCAGGGCTTGGAGTGAGGCAGCTACAGCCAAGGCACACCTGCGGCCACAAGAGGGTGGAAGAGACAAAGACAGATGCTCTTCTGGTGCCTTCAGAGGGATCGTGGCCCTGCGAACACATTAATTTTGGACCCCCAGCCTCCGGAACCAGGAGAGCATGACTTTCTATTGTTAGCCACCAAATCTGTGGTAAATAGGCCCAATAAATGAATACACCGCAGCAGCAGAAAACAAATGCAGCTGGGACTACACCATGACAGATAAGTACTCGGCTGATGAAATACTTCTCTAAATTCTAGCTAGGGGCTACTGCTTGGTTTTTGTGTGGAAGAAGAGCAGCAAGTGTTTGAGAAGAAGCACAAGACAGACCTTCTCCTTGGAATTAATTAGAAAGAACAAAAGGAAAAGGAAGAACTGTCACTATGAAATCAGGAAAAACACCTTTCCTATCCCTAAAAGTGCTGTCCTGTTTAACACCCAGATGTTAGTAAATACTCCAGCTACAGAACATTCCGTGGCACCGTGTCCCTTAACAGTGTAGTCTGGAGACGGAGCTGCGTGGGAACCCAACGGCAGATGCTACTCATAGCCCTGACACTGCCAGTGACAGTCTCAGAGCGGTGCAGGCTGGCTCTGAGGCCATGGGCGTCTTCCCCTGGGCACTGTGGACATTAGGTCCGCATCATTCTCTGGGGCGGGGCCGTCCTGGGCACTGCAGGTGCTGAGCAGTGTCCCTGCCTCCACCCTCTCCATGCCTGGAGCACCCTTTCCCCCAAGTTGTGACAACCAAAATGTCCCCAGACATTGCCAGCTGCGCCCTTAGGGACGTCTGTTGAAAACCACAGGGTTAGAGTACCGTGAAATCCACTTTTTAAAAAATTTCAGGTATGCTTTGTAAATGACAGTCACAGTCCATTTGGGCCACTGTAACAGACTAATGTAGGCTGGGTGGCTTAAACAACAAACATCTGTTCCTGGCAGTTCTGGAGGCAGAGATGAGGGTGCCAGCAGAGTCAGGTTCTGGGGAGGGCTCACTTCCTGGTTGTGGACGCCGCCTTCTTGCTGTGACCTCACGTGGCAGAAAGAGGGCAGTAGAGCTCTCTGGAGTCCCTTTCCTAAGGGCAGTAATCCCAGCGTGAGGGCTCTACCCCCATGACTTTATCACCTCCCCAAGGCCCACCTCCTAAACCCATGAGACTGGGATTACGTTTCAACATAGGAATTTTAGGGGCACAGGAACATTGAGACGATTGCAATTCCCAAGTTCAGTATTTTAATAAAATGTAGCAAACACTCAGCAACCTCCCTCCCAGCAGCGCCGGGGGTCATAGCTCTGCTGTGGAACGTCACCCCCCCTTGTGTGACCTTCTCCCTGGCCCCTGGGCAGTGGGCATTCTGCCAGTGTCCACTTTTCCTTCTATACCTCCAGGCCTCACTGTTCTCCAAACCTTCGATCCCCTTGTGGGACGGTGCTGAGTGGTGGAACATTCTCCCTGATGACCATCCCCCAGGAACGCCCTCTGCCACGCCTCAGCCCCAAAGCAGCCTCTTTGTGTAGATAACCGATTTTTTGGACAGTAAAATCGCAGTCGCACCACTGACATGGGGTTTCTTGGGTGCCCCATGCTGTGCAAAGCCAGGTATACATTTCGTCCTTACCCCAACCCCGGAGGCAGACACTGCTGCTCCTCTCCGCATTTCACTGGTGAGGACTTGGGGCCCAGAGGCTGAGTGAGGCCCCAGGTCCCACAGCTAGGAAGTGTTAGAATGTCCCCAAAGGGCAGATCCCTGACCACCAGGGACCAGGAAATGTCCAGTGTCACCAAAAACTAATAAAAAACATCAGGACCGGGTGCAGTGGCTTATGCCTGTAATCCTAGCACTTTGGGAGGCAGAGGACGGAAGATCACTTGAGGCCAGAATTTGGGACCAGCCTGAGCAAGAGCAAGACCCCATCTCTACTAAATACAGAAAAATTAGCTGGGCGTGGTGGCGCACACCTATAGTTTAAGGTTGCTGTGAGCCAGGCTGACGCCACGGCACTCTAGCCTGGGCAACAGAGTGAGACTCTTGTCTCCAAAACAAAACAAAAATACCTCTGGCTTTTAAATTTGTTTGCATTCATAATTTTTTTAAAAAATGTGTAAATATTTGACCCGTGTTCAGGAACCCTTTAAGATTACTGGGAAACCTTCCCAGCTAGAGCTCACCGGATAAAGCTGTTTCTGGTGCTCAGAGGCCCCGGAGCCATGGACAGGTGTTTCTCAATTAAAAAAAAAAATATGTTGAGTTGGCAGGTATCCCCTGTAGCTGTCCCTTGTCCTTGTCATTGGAGTATAATTGGTGAGCACATTTGTGCTCCCAGGCAAAATGCAACTAAGTGACCATTTACTCCCACTGTAATTAACATAAAAATGGCCTCGTTTCTATTAATGAAAAAGCTCCCACTTTAAACCAGGAATCCCTACAATCAGAGTCCATTACTACTCTTGGGAGAGGCCTGTAAGCTCATTTTATTAGCACAACCTAAAAATTGCCTGGGGCAGCCCAGAACACTACAGTGGGTGTTCCATTTCCATGTGGCCAGGTTTTTGGAGGCCCATGAAAATCAGAATAGTGTGTTTTGGAACCATTTTAAAATTTTAAATTTTTAAAATTTAATTTGAAGCCTCACATCGTTCAAAAAAAATGTTTAAGTATTAAAAGGTTTGTAGCACCCTCCATATAACCCTGATTATTAAAATCTTGTGTTTTGGGCCAGGCACGGTGGCTCATACCTGTAATCCCAGCACTTTGGGAGGCCAAGGTGGGAGGATCACTTGAGGTCTGGAGTTTGAGACCAGCCTGGGCAATACAGCGAGACCCTGTCTCTAAAAATAAACAAAAATTAGACGTGATGGCACGCACCCCTAATGCCAGCTGCTAGGGAGGCTGAAGCGGGAGGATCACTTGAGGCCACGAGTTCGAGTTGCAGTGAGCTGTGATGATGCCCCTGCACTCCAGCCTGGGCGACAGTGAGATCCTGTCTCTTAAAAAAGAAAAAAAAAATCTTGGTTTTGTTCAAAAACTTCTTTTTTGTGTGGGGGCGGGGAGGACAGAATCTCACTCTTGCCCAGGCTAGAGTGCCGTGGCATCAGCCTAGCTCACAGCAACCTCAAACTCCTGAGCTCAAGCGATCCTCCTGCCTCAGCCTCCTGAGTAGCTGGGACTACAGGTACACGCCACCGTGCCCGGCTGATTTTTTCTATTTTTAGTTGTGTGCCTCATTTCTTTCTATATTTAGTAGAGACAGGGTCTCGCTCTTGCTCAGGCTGGTCTCGAACTCCTGAGCTCAAGCAATCCGCCCGCCTCGGCCTCCCAGAAAGACTTCCTTTTATTCATAGAAGCAAGCATGAGTATATTGTCTTCTCTCTCTTTTTTTTTTTATTAATAGGCTTTATTTTTTAGAGCAGTTATAGGTTCACAGCAAAATTGTACAGAAAGTGCAGTTCCCACATACCTGCTACCCACCAACACACACACCGGGCAAGTAGCATTCTGATTGTCAGCTCCCCCACGGAGCGGGGCATTGGTTCCAGTCGATGAACCCCCAGTCGATGAACCTGCATGGATGTGTCACCCTCACCCAGAGTCCATAGTCTGAGTCAGGGTTCACTCTGGGTGGTGTAACCTTCTGTGAGTCTGGACAAATATGCAATGACGTGTCTCCACCATTATAGCATCACTCAGCGCAGTTCCAACCCTAAACCTCCCCTGTGCCCGTCCATCCCTCCCCCCTTCCCCCCTCAACCCCGGCAGCCACTGATCTTTTACTGTCCCCGTAGTTTTGCCTTTTCCAGAATGTCCCATAGCTGGCATCATACAGTGTGTGGCCTTTCTAGACTGGCTCCCTCCGCTTAGCAACACGCATTCAAGATTCCTCCCCGTTTTCCCGTGGCCTGACAGCTCACTTCTCTTTAGCGCTGAGGAACATTCTGCTGTCTCGATGCCCCGACGCCAATTTGTCCCCGCACTTAGCTACCGAAAGACACCTTGGAGCTTCCAGCTCTTGGCGATTATGAATAAAGCTGCTATAAATACCTGTGCGCAGCTTTTCGGCTCCTTTGGGTTAATACCTAGGAGCACAACTCCTGGGTCAAATGAGAAAAGCATATTTTGTTTTGTTTTCCCTTCTTTGTTTACTTAAGCAAGATAACTCACTGTTCCGGTTGGTTTTGTTATTTTATGCAACACTGTGTCCTGGGGATTGTTCTGTATCCTCCCTAAAGTGCTTCCTCTCAGTGGCGAAGTCTGGAGAAACTGTATCCATCAGCCGAAGAGCGTACATCGTACCCACAAAGGGGTTTCACAGCCCGCCACCTTCCCGCCCCTCCCTCCAGGTCTCCAATGTCTGTTACTCCCTAAGTTAAGCTTTCTGTTTGGGATCGTTACGGATTCACGTTCAGTTGTTAAAAATCATGCGGGGAGGCCCCAAGCACCCTTGACCCAGGTTCCCCAGGGGTGACACCCTCAAGACGCTAGTCACTGTCACAGCGGGACATTGACGTGGACACGGGGCCAACCCTCCCTCCTCCCCATCCTTGGGTCCACGCATTTTCCATTTTGGCTGTACCCGTCGCAGCCCCACTGACATGGGAGAGCCCCAGTACCCCCGCCCTCCCCACTCGGTGTGTCAGCCAGCGGGGGCTTTTGCCCCCTGACCTCGGAGAGAACGGTCTCGCTGTAGTTCAGTTTTTGATCCTTTTTAATACATGAAACTGGGCATCTTTTCGTGTACTGAAGAGTCGTTCAGCTCTCCCCGTACTTGGGAGCCGGTTGGGGTGGTTCCCAGGAGAGACTCCACATTTGATGGCGAGGACACGGGACTGACTGGCAAGTCCCCCGAGCACAGATGGACACCAAACCGCAGGCCACAGTGAGGGCAGGGCAGGGGGTGGGTGGCCGGTCCCTGAGCCGGGGAGGGAGCAAGAGAGGCACCACCAGCTCTGCAGAACTGGAGGCAAAGCCGGGACTCTCCCGGAGCGCCCGTGTGTCCTGGGCTGACCCGAGCTTGTCTTCTGTCCCCAGCAGTGGCAGATGAGCCTGGGGACCAGCGAGGACCACCAGCACTTCACCTGCACCATCTGGAGGTGAGCGCGGGCTGGGGAGGGGACGGCGGGGCTGCTGTGGTGTCGCCCGCTCCAGGCGGGGCAAGAGAGGAGAAGAGGATGGACAGACAGGTCCCTGCACCCCTGGAGGGGGACACAGGGCAGCATGCGGACTCAGGAGGTGCAGGCAGGAGGGGCTTCCACGCTGCACCAGGGGATGGAGGGCAGGAGTGCCCCCCAAGGAAGCGCACTGACGGTGAGGCCGGGGGCCCGGGGCGCGTGTGCCGGGCAAGGGGCCGGGGCACCAGGGAAAGGGGCCGGGGAGGGCCCTGAGGGTGGCACGAAGTCACCAAAGGGCTCTAGGGGCAATTTTTTTAATCGAGATAAAATTCCCATAAAATACAGCTTTTTGAAGTGTACAGTTCAGTGGTATTTAGCACATTGACAGGGTTGTGCCACCGCCACCTATTGAGTTCCAGAACTTTCTCAACACCCCAAAAGGAAACCCCGCCCCCATTAGCCATCACTGTCCATCTCCCCAAACCCCCAGCCCCTGTCACCCACAAATCCACACCCTGTCCCTGTAGCTCTGCCAGTCCTGGACAGTTCACAGAAATGGAACCACACGCTGTGTGGGGACCCCAGTGTCCTCCCATGAATCGCTCAGTTCCTGGTTTCCCTCAGGCGGTTCTTCCGCTAGAATGTTCTCCCTGAAGGACAAGCCCGATGGTCTGTAACCTTGTGTGGGTCGCAGACCCCTGGGAATCAGACGGAAGCTGTGCCCCGCCCCCCATCCCCGAAATGCCAGACACACACAGCCCACGGCATCCGCACAGAGCTCGGGCCCTCGGCCCCTCCGCAGCCCATCGAGGTGCGGTCTGGACGGCAGGGCCTCGTGCGAGGCGGACGTGCCCACCCCAGTCCCGCCCCTCGTCCTCCTCGGTCAGGTTCCCGAGTGGAGCGCTCGCCCCCTCAAGTCGTCTGGTTCCCGCCGTCCCCCGCCTCAGCACAGCTTGCCGAGTGAATGGCGCGTCCGGCGGGGCAGAGGGTCACGGAGCTGCAGGAATCCCGTCCTTCCCCCCTGGTGCTCGCAGCCCTGGACTGTGCCGGCCCCAGCGGTACTTGTCCCTGGGGCCTTTGTTTTGTGCCCGACAGCGCAGGCACTTGGGAGGGGACTGGACAGAAGTCCAGGGCGTAGTCCTCGGTGGCCAGGGGTCAACACAGGGCGCAGATTGACACAGCAGAGACAATTAGAGAGCAGCGAGTGGCGGCCTTTAATTAAGGGACAGGGTGTGATTTAACACTGCGTGTGGGCGTTGTCGCACGGTCTCCTGCTGGATGCCTTGCAAACAGCAGGTGTTGCCCAGGGGGTTCGGGGGGTTCTTACCCACTCCATGTCACGGGCAGGCAAAGGCCTCGGGCCATTGGCAGCTGCGTCAAGGGGACCCTGTTGGTGCCACTTCCCAGCCCAGAGAGAGCAAGGAGCCAGGGGCCGAGAGGGGCCCTCTGAGCCTGGCCGCCCTCGTCACAGGGAAGCCCACGGTCCACACTCGCCCGTCTGCAGAGCACAGCCTGGCACAGGGCGTGTGCGCCGGCTCCCTAGGTGGCACCCAGGTGGGCGCAGACACAGGCTGGGACTGGGGTGGGCCCTGCCTGAGCCTGAACCCTCTTACCTGGCCCACCTGGAGGCTCCCCAAGGACACGCTCAGCCCTGGAGACCTGCTGACCCCAGGGCCACCCCCTGGCCCATGTGGGCCCGGCCCCCTCGCTGACCAGGCCTGGGGCAGCCACCGGGACTTGGAGAATAATCTGGGGACTCCCTGGATGCTCCCAGCCGGGACACCCCCAGAAATGGCCACTTCCCTGCCCCGACAGCCCCACCCGCCCCATCTTAGTCCTCCGCCGTCACCTTCTGACACCTTCCACCACTCCAGATCTTTAAATGCTGGCATTTGCCCCCTCCTGGGGACCTAGACAGAGCTCTTTGCCCCACTTCCTAGTTAACTCCTGTACTGCTCAGACTCCAGGGTTGGGGGCCCCCTGCCGGCCACTCTTGCCCCCGCCCCGCTGCAGACCTGAGATGCCGGCAGCAGGCAGGAAGGGACACAGCTCACAGCCCACAGGGGAGAGAGGCCTGTCCGTGACCAGCGGAAGAACATTCCAGCATGGAGGAAGGAGGGGGTGATGCTGAGCAGGCCCGTCCGTCCCTCCCAGAGCCAGCAGTGCTGGGCAGTGGCTTCATGCAGAGAGGCTGCCCCACACCTGCCAGCCCAGCCGGGCTGCAGACTGCGCAGACCCAGGCCCCAGGCCCGGCCTGACCCCGCCCGCCCTTGCTTTGCAGGCCGCAGGGCAAGTCCTACCTGTACTTCACCGAGTTCAAGGCCGAGGTGCGGGGCGCCGAGATCGAGTACGCCATGGCCTACGTGAGTGGCGCTGCTGCGGGGGGGTGTCGTGCTAGAGCGGCTGCTGGGATGTCCTGCCTGAGGCGGCACCTTCCAGACCAGATGGGGGCGGGGAGGAGAGGGGATGCCGGACCCTTTAGAGGGAGGTTTGGTGGCTTGGAGCAACGTGTTTCCCGGCAGGCACCTGCAGGTGCCGAGGGAGGGTGCGTCTGGTGCCCCGAGGGGGACCGAGCTGACCCCAAGTGACCCAGTGGGCGGAGCAGGAGATGGACACCCTGGCCTCCCTCTCCTGACACCCCCGCCCCCCTGCCTGTCTCCTGCCAAAGCCACCAGGGAGCCAGGGGGTGAGGGGGCCCTATCCTGCCGTCCTGAGTACTCAGCCGCTGGGACGTGGGCAGGACAGCAGGGGCCGAAGTGGACCTGCAGGGGCAGGCGGTGTGGCTCACTGGTGGGGAACAGGACCCGGCGCCCCTTGGCCAGACGAACCTCTGCTTCTCGGCCCTGGCAGGGCCAGAGCCGGGTGGCTGCCTGGTGCAGGAAGGAGCAGCCCCCACCGTGGGGGGCCCAGCTGACCACACTGCAGAGACCCCACTTCTACATTTGGGTCAGAAACACTGTGGGAATGACTCCTATCCACCCAGGCTCAACCAGAGAAGCAGAGCCAGCAGGAGATGGGTATTAGGAGATTGATAGCTGGGAACGGGCTCGTGCCACGGGGGAACGGCCAGGCAGGTTTTGCATCTACAGCCCCGGCCCAGGAACTGTTAATATAATACGTCTTCCCCAGGGAAGCCTCGCTCTGCCCAGAGGCCTCCGACCGATTGAACCCGAATCTCCCAGATCTCCCAGAATAGTTTCCTCCTTTGCTTGAGGTCACCTGACCATGGGTTTTAACCACATCTACAAAATAACCTTCAGAGCCACCCGGCAAACGTTTGCTTGGAGAATCAGGGACTCCAACCTCGCTGATGGACACATCAAACTGACTATCCCAGCCCGGCACCGAGACTCCTGCTGGTAATCCCGGCGCTTTGGGAGGCTGAGGCAGGAGGATCATTTGAGGCCAGGAGTTTGAGACCAGCCTGAGTAACATAGTGAGAACTGGTCTCTACAAAAAATGTAAAAATTAGCCAGGTGTGGCGGTGCGCACCCGTAGTCCCAGCTACTCGGGAGGCTGAGGCAAGAGGATCGCTTGAGCCCAGGAGTTGGAGGCTGCAGTGAGCTGTGATGACGCCACTGCACTCCAGCCTGGGTGACAGAGTGAGACCCTGTCACAAAGAAACAAAACAGGAAAACCACTATTCTTTTGGCTGATTTGAAAAAGAAAAAGACACAATTCTGACTTTTTTTTCACCGTTTAGATAAGAGGCCCAGCCATTCTGATTTTTTTAAATGACATTTAAGAGGCTGCAGTGCTCATATTATTTCCACAAATTATTAACTGAAAGGAGAAAAATCAGGTCAGATACTGTCCTTCTGGGATCTGCAGTGGGGGCCTGAGGTTTTAAGCCAGTTGGCAGGCTCTTGGGTAGAGGCACCAACCTGGGGCTACTGGCTTCTCTTTTATGGACTTAGAAAAGTCTCTTTAGTAAAAAGCACCTGGCTTTTGTCTCTGCTTCTCTGAGAAGCAAACTGAATCCTCTTCTCAACCAATGAGATGGCTCTAAGTAAAGTTTCCACCTGTTCCCTTTCAGTCTAAAGCTGCCTTCGAAAGAGAAAGCGACGTTCCCCTGAAGAACGAGGAGTTCGAAGTCACCAAAACAGCAGGTACGGAAACCTGGGTTGCGGGGACAGAGCAGAGAAAGTGGCGCGAGGGCAGTGGCAACATCCCCGTCAGGGGGCGACGTGGCGGGAGTTTGGAGGTGGAGATGGTGTCCCCACGGGGGCCCCGGAGAGCATAGACCAGGCGTCCGTCCACAGACTGCTTCTGCCTGGAGCCCCATGGTGAATAGTCTCAGCTCTGTGGCGTATACGGGCTCTTTTCTAAGCGACTCAAGTCCACTGTTGTCGCACAAAAGCAGCCGGAGACAGTGCATCTGTGGACAGGTGTCGTCCCGTGCCAATAAAACTCTATTTTATGAACACTAAAACATGAATTTCAGATAAATTTCCCATATCACAGAATACTATTTTTCTTTACTTTCATGTTAAAGCTTTTTCCCCCCTGCACCTGTAGTCCCTGCTTGCTTGGGAAGCTTAGGAGGGAGGATCACTTGAGCCCAAGAGTTCAAGTCCAGCCTGCGCAACATAGCACGACCCCTCTCTCTCGAAAAAAAAAAGCAATTTAAAAATGTACAAGCCACCCTTAGCATCTGGGCTGCACAGAAGCAGGTGGTGGGGCCGCGCTTTGCTAACCGCTGTTGGAGAACCAAGACCAAGAAAGTTCATGCCCAGAACTGTGTGTCCTTAAGGGCGTTGAGCGGGTGAGCTGCGGAGGGGGCCGGTGGGGACAGGGAACGCCAGCACACCGGGCTGTCTCTCGCAGTGACTAGAAGCAGCTTGGAAGTAGAAAGCGTCAGGGCGGCTTCGAGGGCGGGACCGCACAGTGCCGAGGGGAGGCTGGGGGGCTGCCTGAGCCCCACCACGTTCCAAGCCACGTCTGAGCCACGTTCGGCTGCACAGGGCGGGCGCTGAGCAAAAGGGGGCGGCAAAGCGCCCAGTGAGGGCAAGGGTGTGAGGCAGCAGAGTGGCCAGGTAGGGCCGGGAGACTTGGGGACAGCAGTGCAAGCCAGAGTCCCTGATCCTGCTGGGAAGGCATCCCGTGGGCCTCGGACAGGTTCACCGGGCCCCACCCCCATCCTGCTCAGCCTGGGTCCTCCCCCTCCCCCCACCCACTCTCCACGTGGCACAAGTGACCAGCGCTCTTCCCACCTCAGGCCTTCCCGCTGCCCACCCGCGAGGTCAGCCCCGCTGGCCTCTCACCCTCCACACCCCCTTTCCTCTGTCCCTCACCCGTAGGATGCTCGGTGCCTGGGGCCTCTCCACGTGGACGTCCACTTTAGGGACTGCTCCCCGTGCCTGCCTGGCCCCCACCCCACATTCCCAGGGCCCTGAGGATTCGTGGAGTGTGGGGCCCAACCATGTGTCTCTTTCCTGCAGTGGCCCACAGGCCTGGCGCGTTCAAGGCTGAGCTGTCCAAGCTGGTGATCGTGGCCAAGGCGTCCCGCACCGAGCTGTGACCGGCAGCCCCGTTGAGGGTGGCGCTCCGTCATCTCCACCGAAGGTGCCCAGGGACCTGAGGGGGTGCCCATTACTGCTTTCTAGTGGGGGCTCCCGGATCTCAGCCCAGGCCGACGTCGCCCTGTCCGGAGGGGCTCACCCTGCCTGGCTGTCCCACCCCTGCCTGGCCCCACGCCCCGCGTGCTCTGCCGGACTCAGGACTGTGCTCCCCTCCGACCCGGCCGGCCACCCTCGGTGAGCCTCTGGGACTGTTTTGGCACAGGGCACCCAGGGGGCCTCCTTTCACATGAACTGGGAAGAGAGGAAATGTTTTTTTCATATTTAAATTAAAAAGATGATTAAAAATCCACCACACAGACTGGGCCAGGCCCTCCCTGCTGGGCGTGTCCGGCGGGGCTCGGGCTGCAGCCCCCACTTCGCCTCCCTGTCGGAAGAGGCTGAGGCTCCCCCGCCCGGGGCACGTGGCCTCTCCAGGCTGGACCCGAGGTGGCCGTCCCTGACCCTGTTTCTGCAGACCGGCCACTCGTGCTTGCCGAGCCAGGGTCCCCACACTTGCATGCCTGTGGCCGCCTCGCCCGCCAGAGCCCCAGCACGGGGCAGCTGCTCCAGGGCAGACCTGCGCTCCCCCAGCCGGGCCGTTGGTTGTGGTTGGTTTTCTTGAAGCCGTATTGCAGCAAGGTGACTTCAAATCACGTGACACCCAAAGCAAACCAAAATAAATAACGAAAACCCCCAAATGCCCCAGCCACTCTGCAGGGCCCTGGTCTCCCGGGATTTTGACCTTCAGCCTGACCTCCCACCGTGTCTTCCCTCCTGCACGCCAGGGAGCCCCCTGGCCGTGCAGTGGGGCTGCCCCTGGGAACTGGTGTCAGGACTGACGGGGACCCCGCCGGACCTCTCACTCGCTGGACCCTCCCTCACACCAGCCCTGGGAGGGGGCACTGCTGCCCCCCAACTTTCCAGAGGAGAAAGAGGCTGAGGGCTCCTGCCCGAGGTCACAGCCCTAGAAGAAACGGAGTGAGGCCCAAGCCCTGCTGTCCCCACCACCATCCCTGGCATAGACGCTCCTTCAGGGTGAGAGGTGCAGGAGCTCGGAGAATGACTATTCCAGAAACCAGGGTGATCAGAGGGGGGCCTGGAACCCCAAGATACTCAGCCAGCCTCGATTTCTTCCCAGTGTGCATTCTGAGCCGCTGCGGCAGGAAGTGCCTGACACCTGCGCCCGCGGGAAGGGCCCCAGACCAAGGACGGTGGGGCTCTGAGGTCTGGGGGTGGGCACAGTGACCTGCTGTGCCCTCGGGACCCCTCCCAGGGCCGGGAGCCTGTCCTGCCGTCCACTTCGCAGCTGCACAGGGCCCGAGAGGTGGGCGGGGCAGCACTGCCCACAGCCGCCTGCGCGCGGAGAAGACTGGAAACCGCACGTGGGCCGGACCCGGCCCAGGGAGGGATCCTTTGCTGGTCGGCCCAGACTCACTCACCGCGCCCGAAGCCCTGGCTGACAGCAAAGATGCAGACAGGATGCAGGGACAGGTGCGCCTGCCCACGGCAGGGCATCTAGGGCCACAGACAAGCCTCCCACCTGCCCCGATGTGGGTGTGTGTAACAAAGACAGAGTCTTGCTCTGTCATCCCAGCTAGAGTGCGGTGGTGTCATCACAGCCCACTGCAGCCTCCAACTCCTGGGCTCAAGCGATCCTCCTGCCTCAGCCTCCTGAGTAGCTGGAACTACAGGGCCCACATGACCATGCCCAGCTAACTTTTAAATTTTTTTTTTTTTTTAGAGATGGGGTCTTGCTATGTTGCCCAGACCGATCTCAAACTCCTGGCCTCAGTGATCTCTCCTGCCTCGGCCTCCCCGAGTGCTGTGACTACAGGACAGGCCACCACTCCCGGCTAAATTTAAATTTTTTGGGACATAGGATCTCACTATGTTGCCCAGGCTGGTCTGGAACTCCTGGGCTCTAGTGGTCCTCCCGCAGTGCTGGGCTTACAGGTGAGAGCCACCGCGCCTGGCGTACACGCGCATCCTAATGTAGCTTTCAGGGAAACTCAGACAAAGCCACCCTGGCCTGCAACCTTTGGCCGTGACGAGGCTGCAGCCATCCCTCTTCTGGGTGTGCAGGAGCCACGCTCTGCAGCCTCCTTTCCTACCATCCCAGCACCCGGCGGGGCGGAAATTGAACTTGTCAACAGGGGCCACGGATGCGTGACGCTGACTCGCACCCTCGATTTAAAAGGCCAGAGCCCCGGGCACACCCAGGAAAGGCTGTCAGACAGCACCAGGCGGTTTAGCCACCGGCCCCACACCACACAGATGGAAGGTGTGCGAGTTTATTTGAATAGCTCGGTGCTGCTCTTTGGTTTGTTTAATTAAACCTCAAGCTTATGAAAGAGTCCAGACAGGACGCATGGGCCAGCCGGGAGCAGGCAGATTACGCACTTGGATCTATTCAGGCGGCACGGCCAGGAGCCCGGGATCTCCTCAGGAAAATGGGAATGCGGTTCATTCTCGAACATTGCCCGAGATCGGAGGAGAAAGTTGCTTTAGAAGGGCGGGGCTGAGGCAGGAGCCGCTGGCTCTCGGGTGAACAAGGGCTTTGGAGCCGGCAAGTTTTCAAGAGAAACTCCAATTCCAGGCTGGTACGTGCGATTTCCTCGTTTTTTAAAATGCCGGCAGCTAATTCCAAATGTCTCAAATCCTGGATGGGGCCGAGCGAACCTCCCTCCTCGACCAAAACGGCCCCGCAGGGCTCCCGGCAGAACCGCTGCCCTCAACAGACCTGGGTCCACAAAACAGTCGTGGAACTGCGTCCCCCTCCCCGGCAGGTGCCCCCATAACCCTCCTGCCTGCGGCCGCATTTCGAGACCTTCCAGAACCCGTGCCCCCTCCTGACAAATAAAAATCACAGGTAGCCTCCCCCACCCCACACACGCCCACACCCCAGAGTGGAGAACCCCCGAATCTCCTGCGAATCTCCAAGTCCAAGACTGGTCGAGCTTTGCTTATGAGAACGACGTGGTTGGTCGGTCGTTGGTTTTCCAAACGAGATCATCGTTTTCAAATGGACACGTTTCCAAAGGCTGATGGCTTCTAGAAGAGGAAGTGTGTGTGCATCTCCGATGGTTTTGCCCTCACCGCTGAGCGGGGGGCACGCTCCGTCCCCTTCCACGTGGGAGTCGCTGGGTTTGACCCAGTCACCCTTCCCGAGTCTGGACTGCGTGTTTCTGGCCAAACTCACCAGCATCCACCAGAATCTTCTCTGACTGGGGCTGCTGGGACAGTCCCACGGACTCGGGGGCTCGAACAAGTATTTATTCTCACTCGGTTGTGGAGGCCGGAAGTCCAAGCCCAAGGTGTGGGCAGGGCTGGTTCCGTCCCAGGCCCCTCCCCGGCGTCTGCTGGTGGCCGCATCCCTGACGTTCTTTGGCTTGTGGAAGCGTCGCCCCGATCTCTGCTCTGTCATCGCCGCCACTCTCCCTGCGTGTGCGTCTGCGTCCAGATGTCCCTTTTCTAAGGACCCCAGCCATGGGCTTAGGGCCCGCCCTAGTCCACAATGACATCAGCCGAGCTAATCACACCTGCAGTGACCCTTTCTCCAAAGAAGGTTTTAGGGGTTAGGATGTGATCGGGTAGGTTTTGTGGGGGCCACAGTTCACCCCTTTCTCCCAGCTCACCATGACCTTGTCTGAAGGAGAACAAAGCCCAGGCAACATCGTTAGGTGGGACGCGCTGGCCTTTGGCTGACATCAAGTGACGCGGGGCCAGCGTGGCTCACGGGACGCAGACAGGAGCGAGGCGGTGGACTGAATTTTCCCCCATCAGACCAGGGTCGGGAGAGGCGACGGTGCTCTTTGTAACGGCTACTACAGATGGTCCGGCGTCCTCTCCAGGGGGACGGGTCGCCTGGCCAGAGTCCAGTTGGGAGAAGAGATTTTTCAAGAGCCCACCCCCCACCCCCCGCAGGCAGGCGGCCGGGGTCACAGGCTGCCCTCGTCCAACATCCTGCCCAGGCCCTCGCAGATGCGGCGCAGGTGGGAGCGGTAGGGCTCCGCGGGCCCGTAGAGCGCGGCCAGGAAGTCGCAGTCCGCCAGGTGGCCGAAGACGTGGCTGATGCGGCCGTGGGACTTGGCCGTGAGGTGCGGGCCCACGGCCTGGTGCAGCAGGTCCCGGCACTCGAGCAGGCCGGCGGCCAGCACGCGCCGGTCGAAGGTGAAGTCCACCTGGTGGAAGCTGACGGCTGTCATGGCCAGGCGGCGCGCGCGGTGGCGGAAGCGCTGCAGCAGCGCCAGCTCCTCGGCGCCCAGCTGTCCCCCGCGCAGCAGCAGGCCCAGCTTCACGGCCACCTTGACCAAGTTCTTCAGCACCTTCTGGGCCTCCTTGCGGCTGCGCGTGAACTCCCGGATGGCGCGGTACAGCTCGTCCAGCACCTCGCCGCTCGTGTCGTCCACCAGCACGGCCGCCACCGCCTTGGACGGCATCTTGCTCAGCAGCTTCTTCTGGGCCTGGAGGGCCAGGCTCTTGGTGCTGAAGGTGTCCATCGGCCCTGCCGGGGGACAGACAGACCTGTCGTCAGCGTCCACGGCCCCTGCAGCCGTCCTCCGCCCTTCCCGCCACTTCCCTGTGCGGCCGCTGTCTTCCCAACCCGTCAAACCGGGCACACGCCAACGTCACATCCCAGAGCGCCCAAACAGGCAAGATGCCTACCTAGGAAAGGTTCGTGGGAAAATGGCATTCACACCAAAGAGATAAAACCCAGCAGACCCTAAGGGATCTAAAGCGAATTTGTTTCTTTAAAAAAAGAAAGTGTGGTAAGTCAAAGGAATGAATGCGTAATGGTGAAATCTGGTCAGGACCATCTGCAGTCAAATGCTCTACCACTGAGCTATACCCCCACCTAGGCAGGGCCTTCTGAATCCCAGTATTCGTGGGGCCTGCCACCAGCCCCCAAACCCACCACATCTTTGCTGTGAGTCGAGAAGGGGTCAGGGCGATCGCGACCGGGGTTCCATCCCCCTAAGTCTGGCTCCACCCTCATCCCACAGCTCTGTGAGATGGGGTCCCGAGCCCCAGCCCCGGGGCCATTCAGGGTGGAGGCACCCGGTTACTGTGACCGATGCCTCCAGCCTCGCTGCCCCTGCAGGGTCTACAGCAAACGTCCCCGAGGCCTTAGGCCCTGAATGAGCCCCAGGGGGCAGCAGCCTGGGCTGTGGGCGACGTCTGTGGGCTTTCTGGAAACGGGTTACTCCAGTGATTCCTCCAACACGGAAACACTGATTTGCAACAGCTCCTGTCTGGGGAGGGGCCGGGGAGGTGGCCAAGGTAAAGGGCAGGCCAGCTCTCATGGGACAGTGACCAGTCCCTCTGCCCATCTGTCACGTCTTCCTGCCACTGCAGTCTGCCAGACTGCCCAAGCTCTGTGGCCTCCCCCTCCAACCACCTCCTTCCAGCAGCTCCAGAATTTTCCTGAATTGCAGCTGGGCATAACCCGTCCCTGCTCAGAACCAGCCCACAGCTCCTGTGGCTTCTAGAACCAAGCCCTACACCTCACTTGGGCCCTTGACTCTTCCCTGGTGGACCCCTCAGTACCCTGACCCCCACGGCCCTGCCTCTTCCCTAGTGAACTCCTATGCATCCCTCAAAGCCCTGGTCCCCAAGCCCCTGTCTCTTCCCTGGGAACTCCTATGCAACCCACATCTTGGCTCCCAAGTCTCTGCCTCTTCCCTGGTGGACTCCTGCACACCGCTCAGTACACTGGTCCCCAAACCCCTGCCTCCTCTCCTTACATATTCGTAATACTTAGCCTGGACACCACTTCCTCCAGGCAGCCATCCCTGCACTCCCAAGCCAGCCAGTGAGGCACCTCCTCTGAGCCACATGGTGCCCCCGGCGTCCCCCATCGCTGCTTTGCTTCCCCGGCCACGGGGGAGGGAACGGACCTGGTTCCTTATCCCCTGTGTCCTTAGAGGCTCCAGAAACATCTGCTGCGCGAATGAGGACAGCCTGGAAGAACCGGGGCAGGGGGACGGCCTGAGACCCGCACTGGCTCTCGCCCGCTGCCCCAGGCCCTGGTCAGCACCCACTCCCACACCCACTCCCACCCCGCCCAGCCGCCAGGCCACCAAGGTCACGTGGGCACCCACCCACCCCCGAAGCCCCCACAAAGCCTGTCTTTGTGTGAGCTCAGGCCCCAACGCTCAGCTGCCCTCAGAGGTCAGGGCAGGCACGGGAATTACCGGCCCTGGTCACAAGACCTGGCCTCTGCACAGGCCAGGCCAGAACAGGGGTCCTGTTGACTCAGCGCCACGTGGCAGGCCCCGAGCCAGCGCCCTGTGCCCATTTCGTCATTCCCGTCGGGCACTGGGCTGGCTGCCCGTTTTGCAGATGAGAACACAAAGGCTCAGAGACGCTGAGCCACTTCCCCAAGGCCACACAGCAACACAGTGATTGCCGATCCCCCACACTGGGGTCTTGGCGGGCCAGGAGCTGTCCCCCATGACAAAACCAACCCCGATATTTAAAGCCTGCTGCCAGCAACATAACCACCATGTGCTTCAGTTTCCCCATCTGTAAAATGGGGAAGATAGAAGCAACTTTGTCCTGGGCCAGAAACTTGTGGCCAGCCCCATTGTCCCCTGGGCAAGAGGCTGGAGTCCACATCCTGGAATTCCACCGTTCGAGCGCCCGCCCTGGCACCCCGAACACACAGACCTATCTCTGTGACATTCTCTGTGAGACAAAAAAGCCACCAGCCACCCTCCCAATGCCCCTCGCCAGTTTCTCTAGCACAATCTATTCCGTTCTCTCTGCCTGGACACCTCCCATTACTCATCTGGCAAATTCCTGCCCACCTCTCAATTCTCAACGTCACCACCACCTCCTCCTGGAAGCCTTCCCAAATGCCCCAGGCAGGGCCCAGTGTCCCCTTGTTCCCACGGTGCCCTGGGCGTCCTCCCTGGCGGCCCTGAGCGCCTTGGTTTCTGTGCCCGTCTCCCTTGCCCGACGTGCAGGCAGGGGCTGCGTCTACACCGTTCACTCCGTGTCTCCAGCGCCAGCCCAGGGCTTGGTCCATAGCAGGTCCCCATGCGCGTGTGTCAAATGCACGAGAGAAATGATGTCTGCAAACGTCGGAACCAAGGGGAATCCCAAGCCCCCCGGTCCAGCCTCCCCAGTTAACAGATGAGCAAACTGAGGCTCGGAGAGAAGGCCCAGCCCTGGGAGCCCAGTGGCTCTGGAGCCCTCTGCAAGTCCCGAGGCTGCACAGGCTGGCTCAGGAGGGGCCTGTTTACAGGCGGCAGGAAGGGCCTGGGCTCCCAGCGGCTACCCCCAGCAGGAAAAGGGGCGGGGGGCGGGCAGCTGTGGCCTCTGCGCTTTTAGACATCAGGGCAGCCCCCAGACCTGCGGACACCTGGGCCAGGCGGCCAGCTGCACGGCCCCCGCCCCCTCCCCTCCGCCCATTGTTCTGCCAGAAACTCCCCCAACCAGCAGCCAGACAGGGAGATGACTGCGGTCTCAGGGGGACAGGCCAGGGACCAAAATAAACCCCGGGCCTTCCTTCCTGCAGGAGGCGGCGTGGCTGCCACATCAGCCCTTCCCGGGCAGGGACTGCCCCGAGGCCCAAGCTCTAGATGCCCAGGGTCGCTGGTTCTTGCCCAGCAAATGCCAGGGCGTCCCCCTGTCGTCACAAGAAAAACCAGCCTGCTGAGGCTTCAGGGCCTAAACACTCAATGCAGTCCAGCTAGGAGCATTTATGAAGCACCAACTGTGTACCACATACCAGGGATACAGAGATAATCAAAAGGGACCCCAGCTACCTGGGAGGCTGAGGCAAGAAGATCACTTGTTAAGCCTAGGAGTTGGAGCCTGGGCAACATAGCAAGACCCCGTCTCTAAAAAATTTGGAAATCAGCCAGGCGTGGTGGTGGCGTGCACACCTGTAGTCCCAGCTCCTCAAGAGGCTGAGGTGGGAGGATCATTTGAGCCCAGGAGTTCAAGGTTACAGTGAGCTAGGATGACACCACTGCACTCCAGCCTGGGTGACAGAGCAAGACCCTGTCTCAAAAAAAAAAAAAAAATCAGATTAACAGATCACTATCTGAGGGAAAGTGGAAGGGAGGGAGTCTGGAATGTTCCATGTTCTTTTTTTTTTTTCTCTTTAATTTCTTTAGTAGAGACAGGGTCTCACTCTTGCTTAGAGCTGGTCTCTGAGCTCCTGGCCTCAAGCGATCCTCCCACCTCGACCTCCCAAAGGGCTGGGATTACAGGCGTGAGCCACTGCGCCCGGCCTCATGTTCCGTGTTTTGATCTGGATCTATGCAGATGTCAAAGGTCATTGAACTAGATGGCTGCGCACCTCTGCGAAGACACTGAGAACCAGCCAATTTGATGCTTTAAAACGGTAAATTTTATGGGGTGTGAATTATAGCCCAATAAAAAAATAACATTTCCCCAAAAATGATATACGAATGGCCAATAAGCACATGGAAAGATGTTCTATGTTCTGGGCCATTAGGGAAATGCAAACCAAAAACCACAATGAGACGCCACTGCATCCCCACGAGCACGGCTAGAATCACAAAGAGACAATACCAAGTGTCGTCGAGGACGTGGAGGGGCTGGAACCCCCACACACTGCTGGCGGGAGTGTAACCTGGCGCTGCCGCTGGGGAAAACAGTCTGACCATTGCTCCAACAGCTAAACACAGAGTCACTGTGTGACCCAGCGATGCCACCCCTAGGGATCTAAGGACAAATGAAAACGTACATCCATGAGACACCTCCTACACGGATGTTTATAGAGGGCAGCTTAGCTCGCAGCAGCCAGCGCCTGGAAGCAGCCCAAGCGTCTACCGAGGGCAAACGGATAAACAAAATGTGCTCCGTGCAAACAACGGACTAGCGCTCAGCCGTACAAGGAGAGAAGCTGTGGTAGCCTGCGGGCCACCACGCGGATGCGCCTCGAGGACGCTCATGAATCACAGGGGACCAAGTGCGGCGTGAGTCCGTTTGTGTGATATGGCCCCAGTAGGCAAAGCCAAAGTGACACAAAGTAGATTAGTGGTCGCCAGGGGCCGGAAAGAAGGGAGAATGGAAAGTGATTGTTAATGGGGATGGGCTTTCTTTTTGGAGTCATGGAATGTTCTGGAATTAGTGGAGACGGTCACATAACCTTGTGAACCACTGAACTGTACACTAAAGCAGTGAGTTTTGGTCGGGTGCGGTGGCTCACACCTGTGATCCCAGCACTCTGGGAGGCCGAGGCGGGAGGATCACTGGAGGCCAGGAGTTTGAGACCAGCCTGAGCAAGAGCGAGACCCTGTCTCTACTAAAAATAGAAAAAATTAGCCAGGCATGGTGGCGCATGCCTGTAGTCCCAGCTACTGGGGAGGCTGAGGCAGGAGGATCACTTGAGCCCAGGAGTTGGAGGCTGCAGTGAGCTGTGATGACGCCACTGCACTCCAGCCTGGGCGACAGAGGGAGACTGTGTCTCAAAAGGAAAAAAGGAAAAAAAAAGATGAATAAAATAAATACATTTTTAAATAAAAA